TGGGCACTCGAAAACGAAATGGTCCTCGTCCTCTATTCTATTCAAATGACACAATGAACATAGTCTATGCAAATGGGAGGAGTGGGAGTCACGCGCTACGCCCCAACGGCCTGTCACTCCAGCAAGGTCGTGTGACCCAGTACGGGTGGCTGCATCACGGGTGATGGCCGCTTGGGAATCACGTACCGTCAAGATCTGGCTCTTAGGGCTGGCGGCCAATTGGCCGCGTTTATGTTGAAAGGCTCCTCCACGGGTTTTCTTTGTGTCTTTTGATTCTGCCTTCCTTTGTTTTATCTAGTGTGCAGGGAGTGCTCACAAGGCCGGCAAGAGTGCCCTGTATGTCGGGCCCCTGTTGGAGACAGGATTGTTGCTGTGGTGCCAACATCGGGTGAGTCCTTCTGGTTCGAGGAAACGCAATTTATTTTCTCTTGTAGAGGAATCACACATCCTCCAGTGATACTACGAAGGCACGCTGATACAGCCGTCCAAGCTCTTCCGCTCGCTTCTTCCGTGTCATATGTACAGCGGATGTTGGTAACACCGTTTCATACTAAGTATCCCTCCTTTTCTCGTTTGCAGTCTGACACCTCCGCATTTCTGGTGACCTGCTGAGAAGCCTTTCTTGCCAACTTTCTGCATTGCCTCCAAGTTCTCGTTATTCAAACACGTTGATAGTCAGACGTCCGCAAATTGTCCTACTAACCGAGGTAGAAGGTTGGTGTCTTAAGCAGACTTCATTATTTGTATAAGAAACAGTTACAGGGACTGCCTTACTAATTTATGGCTGCACGTTACATAATCCTAACAAACGCTGACCAGCTGGCCCACTGATCCTAAGGCAACAAAGTCCGTATCCAAACATTTGGCATGCAGTTGGGGAATTGTGTTGAGGGAACCAAACCCAAAGTGTATCTTTTGCTAGGATGCAGCTTTTCAATCTCATAAGAGCGGGTTGTTTAACCTGAGGTCCTTCGGGTGCTTGTACATTCAAGATTTTGGAGACTCGATGTTAGATCCGGCGGCAGTGCTGGCCAAAAGCAGCATGTGCGGAGGCAGCATGGGCACCAACTTTTGCAATGATAGCTCCCAGAAATGTAGCCAGTGATTGAGGTGGGGATATCCACTAGCTTTGTTTGCGACTGCATGTTTTTGTATCCATCTATAGCCGCCTCTAGGTGAAGCTGGAGTCGACAGCTAGGGCAATGTACACGATGGCCTTGAATCCTCCGAAGCTGCCATCAGCGGTCATGAAGATTGCGAGATCAAGCTACCTCTTTACGTACAATTGCATGCAGGTAGCTTGAGTATATTCACCATGGGCCATTGAACCACTCATGCCAGCCGAGTGGTGAGCTAGGTACATGATCACTTCTGACGTATCATGCATATCTTGGGCACCCAAAACGTCGCACGTGGCCAGTCGCAATTCATAAGCCTTGAAATTTATGGAATCGACGCGAAATATCACATGTACTCCCACGCCTCTGCATGGGACCTAATTCGAACACTCCGTACCGAAATCAACATATATATCTTGATTGGGTGCAAAGTTTTCGATAAGGGGCCCGAGTATGTGTGCACTTGCCAATGATTGAGCCGTCAGTATGTCAATTAGCATGGGAGCGCCACCGCGGCTATCGTTTGGCATGTGTGCCCTGCACCCTGCCATACACCTATGTGCAGTACCACAGCAGTGCTTGCAATTGCGGATCACAATAGTGAACGATCTTATTCGATATGTACAGAGCTGCCATCTGCCGGCCTGATGTGACCACGTGCTCGCAACCGTCAGGATGTTTGGCAAAGTAAAAACCAGATTCTGTCCTTGGATACTGCAGCTCTCATGGTCTCCTGCTGCACGTTGTTTCGAAGTTTGTTTGACTGGCTGAAAAGGATCGCTGCAGAATCTGGGCTCTAAATTGTGAACAAAGGAAGACAGTACAATTGAATTCGGGAATGCCTCAGGGTTTAAACCACAAGAACGATTATGTACATAATAGATTTCCAGCCTAAAACTTTGGTTGCCACTTTACTTGTGTGCACGCACTTCGGGTTGCCCACCACGATGGGCTCCGCGTATGTGCAACTAGCAAAGGGTGTGAATCCACTCGCTGCAGCGCTCCCATCTCAAACCACGTTCATATTACCTCTTCGGAACCGGTTGCATTGCACTTAGTCCCGGTCCAAATAGACGGACAAGTCTCGAACTCAACCCCCACTTAGTAGAATATTCCCTTGTGCATTAGATTCACGGCCCGTTTATGGGTGCCCTCCAGCCTCTTGTTGAGAGTGGTCACGTCTGTTGTCAGATGGTCAACGCCCTGCTCTTGCCTGCAAGAAGAGACCAAGGACCAGCCATTGGTCACAAGTCGGCATGGCAAAGGCACGTTTCTTCTCCTGGCGCTGGGGAAGAAGCTTGACCATTTCATGATGACGCCTCTTCCAAAGCGTGAGAATAGAATCTCTGCCTGCTCCACAAGTACAACGCACAAGTAAACAATGCACAAACAGGGCTTTTCCCAAGCCCAGTGCAGGTGTAACACCCTAGAGAGTGAGCTTTTCAGTAGGCTACTCGGCCGCAGGTGTGCAGGTCGCAAAGTAGTATAAGATCTTACATGAGACACCGATTATGTCACCAACGACCCGCCTCAACCCCTCGACTCCTTTCGACTCCTTCTCTCGAGCCATAGAAACCCCAAGGAAACCGCTCCCATTAGAATCAAATGTATATTCTGGTAGCAATTTGGTGGTCGCTCAGAACCAAAGCAATCTGGGGATGTGCTGCTTGTGCTGTGCGGGCGGCCTCACCTGCCCAGCTCGCGGCCCATGTCGATGCTCATCTTCTTCATGTCGTCCAGCGCCTTGCTCACCCCGTCAAAGATCTCGTCCTGCTTCTCGTGTTCTAGCTGCAGCAATGAGCCTCCACGCGTGTTAGTGCAGCCAGGGCAGCCATGCAGCACAACTGATGAGGGCAGGCCACCGCCGCAACATTGCACAGGGGCCGCTCCCGGGGGTGGATCCACATAAGGTGGATGCGCCATGTTCCCCCCACACGCAGGCAAGCACACAAGGGGCCACCCTGCCTGGCACACTCCTGGGCCGCCTGCTGCGGGAGTGGGGGGCTCACCTCCACCACGCTCTTTGGCCGCCGTATTTCCGCCTCCGAATCCGACAGCGCCGCCGTGTCGCGGCCCTTGCCTTTCCCCTGCTGCATCAGCGCAGCCCGCTGCTGCTTGTCCCGGGGACCCCCCTGCACCGCCAGCTCTGCACGCCGCCCGTTGCCCCGAGGTCAGCCTCAGGACAAGCGCACAAAGGGGGGACCAGTGCCGAAGGGATGCTACTTGGCCGTGTCCAGTGCGTAGACTGCCTGCTGCGGGCAGTGGTCTAGGTGGCTCACCTGGTGCGTCCAGCGGCCCCGCAATGGCTCGCCCCTTCTTGGGCTTCCAGGTGCGGCTGAAGATGGGCCCCAACTTGCCCAGCATCTTCTCGCCCTGCACGCGCGCACCTCCGCATTCAGCGGCAGGGGGAGCCAGGCACAACAGACAAGAGCCGACACTTCAACAGGGCAGCTCTCGAATGGCAGACAAGACCCTGAGCGCGGTTGGGCCAGGGGGATCCCTGTGTCGTCCACACAACATGTATTTGTCCAGCTGCTGAGGCCAATGCTGGGGCGCTGCGGTGCGTGGCGGGGTCACCTTGGACAGCTCCTGGTCGACCTGCACGGCCGTCTGGTGCGTGCGCCGGATCTGCTCCCCCTGCTCGTGCAGCGTCACCAGCGTGTTGGCGCCAATGTCGCGAGTGTCCTCAGCAATCTTGAGCACGCGCCGCGCATCCGCCGTCGTCTTCTCCGCCACGCGCAGCATTGCAGCCTCTTGCTCCTGAAGGCAGCGGCAGAGCAGAACGCCGACTCGTGGTCAGGAACGACAGTGTCAGAGAGCAAGAGGGGGGCGTGCACCAGCCATTACGGGCAATGGAGTGCAGGGAAGCGGGGGTTGCAAATCTCCAAGGGGCTGACCGTCTCGAAGAACAACTTCCAAAGGAGTGGGCACCTTCGTGCTGGCCCGCCTGAGGCAGGGCACTTTCTATCTTTCAGAAACATGGGGCCCCTTCCGACACAATCCCAAGAAAACCCTCTGCTAAGACCACCACGGCATTGTGCGGCACAGCTCTCAGGCTCGGGGTCAGGGCAGGAATGCAAAGGGCACCTCCTGTTTTCTGCACCCCCTGCCAGCCCGCTCCCACAGCTGCAAATCTTCCATTAAGTCCTCACCTGCGGCGTCAGCAGCTTGAACCAGTCTGTCTGAAGAACTGTGGGGTCGTCATTCTCTGCACTGGACGTCCTCCTGTCGCCCTCAAAGGGGTTGTGCCCTGGCGCGCCGCGTGGGGCTGACTCGGGAGGCAGTGTCCCCTTGCCTGCTCGCTCGCTGTATGCGCCCCAGTCGACGCGCTTGGCCTTCCCCGCCCCGGCAGCAGGGGACCAGTCCTCCGACTTGCTCACGGAGTGCCCCCCACCGGCTGCCTTGTGCTTGGCCATCACTCCCCGGCTATTCTGCCCCGCCGACTCTCCCGGAGGCGGCCGCATGCCAGGCTCCGCGCGGGGCATTGTGCCCACGAGCAGCGCTTACCCCAGCCAAAGCAACCCGTCCACCGCACCGTGTGGGCAGCCCAAACGCACAGCAGCCAAGCAACAAACACTGGACTAGTCTTGACTGTCTTCCTCCAGGCTGTCCTCAATGTGCGGGGTCAACGGCAATCAAGTCCTCCTGCGCCCCTGACATTCGTGACGCGACGTCGAGTGCTACCTACGTTAGGCTTCCCCTCCCAGAATCCAGACTGGAGCTTCCTGGCAGCACACCTGCCGAGCAGGTCACGTGGTATGCTGGGTGCGCGATGTACCGTACCTAGTGGGGCGGCGCGAGTCTCAAAAACCACCCAACTCTCTCGGCCGTCCGATGAGCAGGGCTTCTGTGAGCGCCGTCGATAAATCAT